CAAAACTTTATATTAATATATTAATTGTTTTAACAAATACACAATTATGCTAAATGTGAGGTTATTGATCGTGGTACTATTCTCGTATAGGTGCCTTGGTCAATCTAACACCAGTGACATTGATGAGCAAGCACAAATACGCGATATATTACTTGATACCGAAAATAAGACTTGTGATGAGATACAAAATGATCTGGTTGCCTTTTGTTGCTGTAAGTTAATAGCCATTTATATTATTAAAATAATTTAATTAAACTAATAATAACATTATTTTATTACACCTAGCACCCGGGTTAATTCTCAATATTGTTCAAGGTAAATATAATTTATATATACAATACTAGTCAATGATGCTAATTTATGTTTATTTTAACCTTGCCACAATAGATATGATTGGCTTAAGCAATGAGACACTATGCAATATCTATGAGAAAACTTGCCTAGATAGAGAATGTCACCTAGATACCCTACAAGTGTGTCAGGCTAACTGTCCAGGTTGGGTTCAAGACTGGTTTTTAGTGGAGTATTATGAAAAAGGGGAGTTAACTTTTGATGAGCTACAGGTGCTATTGACTAATGATATGCTAATTAATACGGATGAGACTCAAGAGGACAGTGATGTCGATGATGGACAGGTAGCTGAGAGAAAGGCTGTCAAGCGATCAATTTATAATGTGTTGAATAAATATTATAAAAAATGATTACATCTATTGAATAAAAGTTTAACCTTTGTAACTTTAAAATTTAATATAGTGAATTTTATTAATATCCAAAAACTGTAATTTATTTTTGTTATTTTAATAAACTATTTTTTGATTGTAAATAATTTCTTAGTTGGAAACAAATTATCTCATAAATTATTTTTAATTTTTCATATACAATATTAAATACAATAATCTACCTATTATACTTTTTACTTGTAAACACTATTGTATTAAATTCAATGAACTCTATAACATGTGTTTTGTATTGTATTAAAATATAAAACAATTATTTTTTAAACATAATTTATATTATAATTGAATTAAACTAAAAGGGTTTTAATTGATATGTTTTTATAAAATAAATGTTTTTTGATAATTATTTTTATTTGCAACTATATTACAATGTTGAAGGCATACGTAATTTTGCTATTAATTATTACCCTGATAAATGCCGATTTAATTAGGGCTAAAATTGAAACTGATAGTATCAAGGAGCATGATGTGGTCAAGGAGATCATCGGGTTCATTTCAAAGGACCCATGCGATAAGCTAACAGTGGACCTTGCTGCATTTTGTTGCGGTATGTATAATAAAATTTTTTAAATTTGTTAACAATTTATTTAGAATCATTTTTTTATAAATAATTATAAGTATAATTTTATAATATTTCAAAAGAACTAAAAATAATAATAATCTAGGAAAATTAGTAAATTTGTTTTAAATAATTGTGATAAAGTATCGGACATGATGAGACCAGAATAAAAAACATTAAAAACATACTAGGATATATAAAGTATTATAATGATTTTGTTACAGTTTAAAATAAAATTAGAAAATCATATTTATATGTGATTAAAAAATTTTATACATGCTAGAATAATTTAATAGTTTAACATAATTACTACAGCCAATTAAACTAATTTACAAACTACAAAACTATTTAAATATATTTATTAGATATGGTGTCTGTATTTACTGCAATTTTTGTAATAATGTACATTTTTTAAAAATATTATATTACATTATAGTATATATTACATTTTATACATTTACAAAACTGACCTGTCACCTCTCATAGCCTCGCAGCATATATTAAAAGTAATTGAGCGACTAATCGGCCTGGATGACATCACCATTTGTGACGTATATAAGGCTGAGTGCGATAACAATGAGTGCAAAAACAGTGATGGCGATGGACAGGGAGCTAACCCGTGTGAGCCTACCTGTCCCGAGCTGTCACCCGAGGAACTGGAGCTCGAGTCGAAGCTACTGTCCGGTGAGATAAGCGAAGCCCAACTGTTGGAGCTGTTGCTGACCGAGGCCTTCAAGGATGAGCCCCTGGATGTCGACGCGTCCGATGAGGGGAAGGTTATGGAGAAACTGGAGGGCGAGGCACCTAAACGTAGGTCCATTGAGGCGATTAAGGCTGTCATCAAAAATAAGCTCAAAAAATAAATGTTTGAATTAATTGATTATTTCTGATGATTATATGAATTAAAGTTTTTAATGAACTCATAATAAATTGGAAATTAAAATTTATTTTGAAAACATTTTAATATTAGTAAATTTATTTATTTAAACCATATAACATTAAATTGTAATATCAATTAAAATTATATTAAATTTAAGTAACTTATCATGGTGATGGTTATAAAGTCACTCATCGTCTCAATTAATTATATTGTTTTTAATATAATCCAACACAATTTATTTAATTAATTCGTGCACAATATGCAAAATAAAGACATTTTTTGCACTGCAAACTGTATACATGACCTAATCGATACTTTTCATAAATAAGAAACATTACTGTATGTTGTATTATTGAAAGCATTGATTAAATTATGTGTACAGTTTTCAGTGCAAAATAAATGTCTTGCTTCAGCATAAAAGCCACCAATTATAATAAAAGTACAACATTTAATTATATACTGTATTTTAATAATAAGCTAAATGCATAGAGTTCACAGTAATATAATCTATATCTACTATACCTAGGAGATTCAGTTCAGTCTTAACACTGCATGACCTTGCTTGGAGCAGGGGTGGTTCACTCAGTATATAACAAATAATAAATATGAAACTTTATGTTGAAATCTATGTCCATTCATTAATAATGTTACATGACTAGGTTAACCACCCGGGACAGTCTTACGTGTCCAAAAATTTATAATTCACCTTATGGGTATAGGTCAGTTAAACGATGTTGGACATGCAACAAACTGGGTCATATATCTCGAAACTGTTGGTATAATGGAGTGAACCGGAACAATAAGATATTAATTAATTATAAATGTTGAGCTCGCAATAAATACATTAATTTTTTTTAAATTAAAAATTAATTAATTAATGATAAATATTACCGATATATAGATAAGCCTGTAGATAAAGATAACCAATTAAAAGTATTGTATTAATAATTTATAAATAGTTAAAATGCATAAATATTGCCAATGTTACAGTTTGTTTAAAATATAATTCAAAAAAATTGTAGATTTTTATATGGAGTTTAGAAAACTTAATTTTAAAATGTTATTCACATTTTTGCGAGAAAATTTTTATTAATATAATATGAATTAATAAAAGTTTATCTAGATATTTTAAATTTTACATAAATATTTATAATGACTATAACAAAAATAGCATAAAATATTTTATATTTAATAAATGAATTAAAAACTACAACAATTTATAATTTATTATTATTTATTTTTTATCTAGTAACTGGTTAAGCAACTCTTTTATATTATGTAACTCAGCTTTAATCTCGGTGATATTATTATTAATATAACCAAGCTGGTCACCAATGTCAATTAAATCATCCTCCATACGTGACTGGCGTTCAGTTAAATTAGTTAATTGAACTTGAATGTCTGATTTAGCTTGATTATTGTTTTCTTTTATTGTAGCAGTGTCCTTTTTAATTAGCTGCATATCTTGGTTTAAATAAAAGTGTTTTTCCACCAAGGTCTCACTTTTGTTAAATAATATTTCCAGTATGACATCTGTTGGCAATTGTTTCAGTGGTATTTCTGTCCCTGGTAAGTCATCTGTTGTATTACCTTGTTCATTTGTTGGGTCGTGTATAATATCTGCCTGGGTTAAAATAATACAATCATAAATAATTATTTACATTAATGTGATACAGTAAATTATAATTATATTTAATATATTAACTTCTAGTATATAATATATATTATATACTATTATTGTAATAAAATATTTAACTACTAAATTATAACATTTTTCTGTTTTAAATAAACTAGTTGAGTTTATTTAAATGATATATTTATATGATATCAACAAACAAATATATCATAAATGGCTGTTTATCAAAAATAATTATAAATATTAAATTATTACAAAGTTAGTACACTTACAATATTTTCATAGGGAGTGTCCGGTACTCTATAAGGCATGTTTAATATTGACCATGCTATATAAACACTTAATAAAGTTACACCACCATACATAATAGTGTAAAACCTTATTGATTGTTTTTTGTGAATTTTGTCTATTTGATTACGGTCCATTATGTTTGTTAATTATTATTCAGCTAGTACAATAATTTGTATTTTATGTAACAATATACTAATTATATAACATGTAGCACATAGCATTTACTATTATTTCACATACAAATCATTTATGAAAAACAACACTTCAAAAATATAGTGTTATCGCAAATAAATAGTATATTATGTACAAAGTTTAGATTATTATCGTAGCAAGCAAATATAATGGTATCTATAGCAATAGACCTTTGTTTAATTAAACCCTTTAATAGATAAGGCAAGTACAGTAATTTATAATGAGAGCAAGCTTAATTATTTTTATAAATTTATTTTTAAAATATACTATTAATTATAAATTTTATAAATTTTACCATTATTTAATATTTCATAACATTTTGTTAATTATAAATATTTATATAATTATGACTAATAGGATGTGCAATAATATTAAACTTATCAAAATCTTATAATTAATTTCATACTTAATTTACAGTATCTTAGAAACTTTAAAAATTATATGTTTTATAACCAAGGGTAGAAAAAATGTTTGAAAATTTAGTTTAAATTAAGTTTTTTCAAAATATATAGCAAACATTAAAATACATATTAAAAATATTGTTTTTAAATCTTATTAAATATACTATAATTTATTTAAAATTATATTACTTACAATTATGTGAGTGATCTTGGTCACTGTGAAATTTAATTATTTACACATTGATAAGGCTATGATTTTACTTATCTCTTATATATACACAGTATTCAAATAACACGTAAAGTCATATCAATGGTTAAGAAGTTTATAATACGTATTATTAAATGTTTTCTTTGTTAGACTTTTAAATAGTTTTTGTATTACATGCTAATTTATTTTATTAATATTATACAAACATGAGTGACCTGGCTATTAAGAAATTGAACGAGATCAGTGCCGAGTTAAAGGCTCATCAAAATGATACGCCCGAGGTGAAAATGCTAAACACCACGGTCGATGAGGTATGTAATATTATGTATCAGGGAGGGTTTACTGTAAATTTATTTTTAAAAATTTATATAATACATGTCACATTTATAATATATAAGCTACTGAGCGTTGTTTTTATTAAAATAATTTAAAATAAAGTTAATATTTTTTTTATTAATAATTAAGAAATGTACAAAATAATAAGTTATTTATACAAGCTGTAAACATTTATAAATAATTTATTATAATTTGTGAAAATACTTGCATTTTAATATAATTGGTGATGTGGTGCTAGTCGGTTAATTTTAAACATTAAAAATAAATTTTTCATTAAGTAATAATCACGACTAAATTGATCCAGATCCACCAGATGAATGAGCACCGGCAGAAAATGCGTTACGCCAACGCAGCCCTAATGGGCCTAATTTTGGCGGCTTTCCTATGCTATGCCCTAATCGTAAGACAGGGAGACCTCATCTCAAACTTTGTCGGATTTGTCGTGATTTTTATGGGAGGGCTGTTAGCTTTCAAGTACATGGACTACATGGATAATACCAAGATTATGGACACGTTCATGCATCTGAGCAAAAGTTACCGGGCTAAAAAAGTTGAGCCGGTTCAGCCACAGGATAAACATGTAGATGAGGCTAATGTTAAACCAAAGTATTTGTAATCTTAAAGTTAGAGAGAGAGAGAGAGAGAGAGAGAGAGAGAGAGACTGTAAACTTTTTAAAATTAAATAGAAAAATTAAAACATAGTTTTAAATTGTGTTAGATGAAAAAGCAAAAGGTAATTTTTAATTTAATTCAATTGTATTTGTAAAATGGTTTAATGATTAACAAAGTGTTTTATAATTTTATCCAATTTATGTATAAAATATTATAATACAAATTAAAATATGCTTGATAATGAAAATAAATCTATTATTTTTTTGATTCCATTTAGATCAAAGTTAATTAATAATATAATTTATACATCCAAAAATATATTATAATTATATGCAATTGTCGCTCGTAGTCGTAAATTTTACATTTTTTGACCGAGTTAAAAATGTTTTAAAATATTAATTATTATAGTACATGAAAATCACGAAATATATTTATGATTATATGGTAGTTATATTAGCAAATTTAATTAAAGGTTTGTGCACCTTCCCAATATCATATTTTATGAATATCATTTGTATTATTATTACAATAGTATAAAAATACAGTATCAATAGAGATTATATTAATATAAATAATTTAAAAATAAATAAGTTACCATTGACTTTTAAATAAAATATTTTTATTTTTAAAACATTAATCTTGAAATTATTAATAGTTATTTTTGGGTATACTAAATTAATCTAAATGCAATTATTCATTTTGGGTTTTAAACCATTATAACAATAAAACAGTTGCTTTGCTTAATTTTAAATTGACCTCGTTAAAGATATTTTTATTGTAATTATTTTTACAAATATTACTTATTATAAACAGGGTCACGATCCAATGTGAATTTTAACCAAATATAGAGGTTTCATTATGGATAATAATTTTACAAAAGTACAACATTTATATATTACTATAAAATAATGTTTAGCGTATAAAAATAATTTTAATATTTTAAAATATGGTTATAATTTGTGAACCAATCGACTGTCCATTGGAAACACGTTTATTGAGATTAAGAAAACACTTTTAAATCAAATGTTTTTTGTTTTGTAGAAAACGTTTCTTATCATAAGAGTCGCGCGAATCCTTCAGTATATGAATTGGATTTAAATGATACAAACGGTTTGAAAATATAGCTTTTGCTTATAAACTAACATTGATTTTAGTGTTGATACAAATAATGAAATAATGAGCATATTTCATAAATTAATAAATTGAGAATAATATTAAAATAAACTGTAAACATTTATATATATTTTAGTATAATTTGTGAAAATAATTGAATTTTTATTTTAAAAAATGAAAAATATACAAAATAATAATAAGATAAACTGTAAACAATAATAAATATTTTAGTATAACTTACGAAAATACTGGCATTTTTATTATTGGAATTATTAGTATCAATGTAAAATATTTATCTATTCTGTCTACTAAATTATTTCATTTAACTTTATTATTGCAATTATAGATCAAAGTTTATTATCAAAATAATTTACACATACAAAAAACATACATCAAGTTATATTCAATATAATTCTGATAGTTTTAATATTCATGTAATGTACTAGTACAATTAAATAATCACATGCAACTTAAAGTATTTACAACCGCCCGGTGCTGTTATTCAACCCACTGGACAGGTACTACACCCTTCCCACTCAATTAAGCTCCGGGTCATCGCCCAAACTCATGGCCACGTTAATGATGGGCATTAGGAACGACTTATACCGGCGCTGACGGGCCGTCACGTTAGGGGTGCGCTCGACGAGTGCGTCGCACCGGTCGGAGGGCTCGCTGTACTCCGCGCACAGCAATAGGATTATCGGTTCAATCAGTTTATTGACGTATTTGACGACATAGTCCACGGTTTTGCGGGTACACTGCTTCACCTCCTCGGCCTCATCGATGAGACACTTTATGAGCTGATGAAAGTTACTGGAAATAAATTGATAGTGTGTACCTGGGTTAATTTTGTATTAATGATATAGGTTTTAAAAAATTATAATAATAATATTTAAACTAGTTACTGTTAAATATGTTTGTCGTGACTTGTCCAATAGTCTATACGACAATTTATATACACTATTGCCAGCTTATATGGAAACAAGAATGGCGCCAAAATGAGAGAGAGATAAGAGAGCAGACATACAGTACAACACATTTTGGTAATACATAATAGTTTATTAACAAAATTTGTGATAGTTATTAGTATTTAATATTTTGCATAAATTTGCATATTTTACTAAATTTTGCATTGAATTAACTTAATTG